TGATTTTGAAAATAAATAGGAATTTTAGATGTTACCTCCTTGTGATGTAGAACGTTGCTGATGTTGATTGCATCAATTCCTCTATTGGTAAAGTAAACAGGAAGGAATTTTCTCTTTTCCTCGTGTAAAGGTTCCGATCTTACTGGTTTAAAAAGACGGAAAAGAGCTACATCACAAATTATACTGATAAGTCTGTATATTGGAGAAAATGTATTTATGCATCCTTTGTCAAGTGCATAATCTCTCAAACATTTTAGAAAATTAACAGGCAGTGAAAAAAGAATAGTTCTATTGTAATGTAACCCTAGCGGATGATGAAGATGAGAAAGAAGGTCATCAAAGCTCCCAGAGGGCGACCTAGATTTGGAAGACTTATTAACATTAGGCCGATGGTAACGTTTTTGCCCATGACTACGTTGGTTTCGTAAGGTAGTATTAAATAAACTCATTACATTAACATCACTGCAGGCTGGACTTGACAAATTTCCTACTCCTTTGACATTATCATTGCAACCATATGGCATTGCAGTACCTAGTTCCCTTATCCAGAAATTGTCTCTATCTTTTCGAAAAGGAGTACTAAGTACAGGGCTATTTGTGTGGTGATAAATTTTCTCGATGATGCGTACTTTCATAGATAAAGAAGGATCATGGTCCGGTTGATTAAAATGGTTATAAAGAACCCTGAATTGCGGATCTTTATTATCAGACCGGTGTTGATTCATCCTTTTACGCAAATATTGTCGGGTTTCACCAATATAAAGTAGTCCACACAAAGTACATTCAATTCCGTACACGACATTGTCCGTGGAACAGTCCAGAGGCTCGAAAGATTTAGTATAATACGTTTTTCCTGTTAAATTACTGGTAAAATCAGGAGTCGTGATTAACATATTACATGTCTTACACGTGCTCCTTTTTCCTTTTTTGTGTTTACAATCAGAAGAAATGATAGGGGTTGATTCACTTGTAGCAGGTGTATTCAAACAGTCGAAAATATTAACGCAACATGGCTTTAATTTATGAAAAGTATCTGAATTTTTAAAGTAGTCATTACCTTCTGGCTGAACGTACGTCAAATCAGGGGTATCCCGGAGGATATTCCGTGGAACACACAAATCAAATGCTACAGTGTTCCGTGCAGCAAAAGAGGACCTTGGTAACCCGGGCGACGTCCCAGCCGGTTTGTTCTTTGTATTATTTGTTTTCATCATGCATAAAGCTACCAAGTTAATGATGCCCTCGGGGAATAATCCACCAGCAGTAAAGATTCTTCTAGGAAGAAACTTGACATCGACTTGGTTGTAGTAAAAAATAAAATCACAAAAATACTGAACTCCGAGGAAAATTCAAAAAGGAAAGTCCCCAATCGAATGGCAAAATCAAAAGTTCAAACACATCAAACGAATGGATAACAACTGTCATATTCCTGACTTGGTACAGGCATTTTCTTATGTATAGATTTATAGATTTACAGGGCATTGTGATCATTATCTAAATACAATGATATTTAATTTTACACTTCATTTGCATTTTTATGTAATGCAGTCAAACTATCTGAAATCTCTAATTCTCCTCGACTCTTTTCGTCTTATTGCTGTATACTTTAACCACTTTCACACTGACAGCAGAATAATAAAACGTAATAACGTTTGGGGTTTTTTACTATGGAAAATGGCATTCAAGTATAAAATAAATTACCAAACCGCACTAAGGGAGCTACCATTTGATTTTTATGGGGGGGGGGGGGGGGGGGGGGGGGGGGGGGGGGGGCTAGGATGAAAAATTTTGTCCTGCATTTTTTTTAGTTGTAATCTTTGTCCTGCCTTTTTATTTTTCACTCTATTCGGTCCTGCCTTTTTTTTAAAGTTTATCCTGACTTTTATTTACCTAAAGTGTCATCCTGACTTTTTTTTTAGCAAGTGTCTCATCCTGCCTTTTTTTTTTCTCAAAACTCCTGTCCTGCCTATTTTTTTCAAATTTCATCCTAGCCCCCCAGAAAAATCAAATGGTAGCTCCCTTATGATTTATGCAAAACACTTTTCTTTTTTTGTTTTTTTTGTTTTTTGTTTGTTTGTAGTTTTCATCTATATTAAAACCCGATTTCAGCAAGCATGACGATATCAAAACGGTCAGTTGTATTGAGGGAGGAAAACGGAGTATAAAGAAAGAATTTTTTTTTCTTCTCTTAGACCACATGGCGACCAAGGTCTTGCATATAATTTGAATACTACATTTGTTTTGGTTAAGCTACTAACCTGGATACATTGTTGAACCTCCGGACAGAACAATATTATTATACAGATCTCGTCTGATGTCAATATCTGTTGACGTGATTGAGTTATGGGGCATCTCATGTATACCGGCAGCCTCCATTACCGTAAAAGATGGCTGAAAAAGAACTTCCGGACATCTGAATCTTTTGTTTCCAATAGTGATAACACTGCCATCTAGTAGCTCGTAGCTCTTTTATATTTGAGATGATTTGGCAGATGCATCTAGTTCTTGCTCGAAATCAAGTGCAACATGACACATTTTCTCTTTGACATCTCGGACGATTTCACATTCAGCTAAAATGACAAACAACAGTATTTTAAAATCATATTTAAATTTGTGAAATTTGGAAAAAGTCAAACATTTGCTATAATGATTTCTTTATACTCTTCGACTTCTAATTTTAAATAGCCCATAAGTCTAAGTGACTTCCTGATATGCTTGGTTACTCTTTGACTCCTGCCGGTCATATATCAGAAAAATTTATATATATATTGAACCCATCTATGATATGTAGTTTTCCGTTATATTCATGTAATATTTGCCACTGAACTTTAATCATAGAGAATAATTCTATAGATATACTATCAAAGTAATTATGTGTTTGCATATCGATATCATGTTTTATAACACATCAAATTAAAAATATTTACAGGAACTGTTAAAACAGTATCCTCGCTCACGAAGTATTCTCTGCAGGTATGTTGTCAAATCTCGTCCTGAGAGATCTAGTCTCTTAATGGCATGGGGTAGAGCATATCCTAAAATATAAACAACATAATTATGTAACATTGCTATTGAGGAAAATGTGATTGTTTAGCTTCATTTGCTTCAAGCTTCAATCAATCTTTTTAGTTTAAACGTTTAGGAGGAAATTAATAATGAATGAAATGAAGGCATAGAAATCAAGAATTGAAGGAGTAAATTGAATCGCATCTTTTCCTGCAAGTATGAAAAATTGTCACTTGATAAATAATAAGTACATGTATGATGCCACAACTAAATTGATTCAAAACGTTACATGCAATTTATTATGATAACACATTGTTTTATTTTTATTTAGTAGAATTCGTTGGAATAGGAGTTTCTGACATCATATAGTATTCAATTAAAAATGTATACATGTTTGTATAAAGGAAAATCGCAAAAAGATCGTCCAATGATATTTCAATTTGTTTACCTTCATATATAGGAACAACATGAGAAACTCCATCTCCTGCATCAAAGACGATCCCTGTTGTTCGTCCTGATGCATACAAGGATAAAACAGCCTGGATACCGACGTAAAATGCTGGTGTATTGAAAGTCTCAAACATGGTCTGAAATCAAAAATATCTTATAAACATAAACAATAAAATTCTCAGTAAATGTAAAAATACATGAATTTCTTGTATCATCTTAAAATAATTATAATTCCGGTATGATTCTATAATATCACTTATATTTTGAAATTGGTATTCAAAATCAAACTGATTCATGTATTAATTAAAGATATTTACGAATGTCTTCCCATTTTATTAAATCGACATTAGAACCATATATTTGAATTGAGTTGTCTCCCGTTAAACGTGTTTAATGTCAATATAACCGAAAGGAACAAAACTTAATACATACGAATGCGCGTTTTCTTTTGCAAAAAGAAATAAAATGAAAAGGCTACGGCAGCCGATTGTTCCCATTTTCAAAATTTGAAAAGATTTTTCAAAGACAAATCCAGTAGTTTCTGATTCATATGATACATAGTAGTGTTTTAGGTATTTGTGTCGCTTTGTTGATGTTTCATTTCAAAAATCCCCCATAACCATCTTACTGTCAAACATACGCATAGTAGTGGTTTGGATATTTTTGTTGCTAGGTTGTTGTCCCATTGACAAATACCCCCATATCCTTTTTACCAACAAACATCCACTTATTTTTCTCGCGAGGTTGTTTTATCATTAACAAATACCCAATAATGTTTGACTGAAAAACATGTGCATAGATAACTTTTGGTTTTTTATGTTGTTAGGTTGCTGTCTTATTTGTTTATACTTCCATATTTTATAGATGAACATATGTTTAGAAATACAGTCAATGTGGTGTTTCATGTACATGTACATATATGCTAAAATGAAACGCACAAGAGAAGAACAGAGAAAGTAACAGAGTCGACGATACGAAAAGCAGACTAATATTTGAAACGGACTTGTTTATTTCGGGGCCTTTTATAGCTGACTATGCGGTATGGGCTTTGCTCATTGTTGAAGGCCGTACGGTGACCTATAGTTGTTAATTTCTGTGTCATTTTGGTCTCTTGTGGAGAGTTGTCTCATTGGCAATCATACGTACACATCTTCTTTTTTTGTTAAGTAGGTCTGTAAATATTTGTGTCATTTTTTGAAAATAGGAACTTTTAGACTTTGTCAATGTAGCCAAATTTTGCTCCCCTTAAAAAAAGATTGTTGACCTTGTGCTGTCTTTTGATTTTTCTTGTTGTTTGATTGCTGTCTATGGCGTATCGTCACTTTGAGAAATAATAGATGCACAATCATTTACCAAATATGCCAAACATTTGTAAGCTGATCTAACTTTGAAATTATTCCACAAAGACCTCACGCACTCGTTTCATTCTCGCTACTATGACAACACAATGGCGGTTCACCATCTCTCCATACATGCTTTTGTTTTACTCTTTTTGAATTTCTACTTTCTATCTAAACCTATCAAAATATCAACACACATTTTTTAAAAATTCAATTAAACTTTAATAATTTAATAACAAGTGTATAAATATCATATAAAAATTGCAATAATATCAATCAAAATCAATGACAAGGAAATAACAAAAATAACGTATCACAGACGAATATAATTACATGAAAGCCCATCTGTCCAATATACATAATGTGTCTCTTAATTACTGTTATTGCACCTAATTACATAACATAAAATTATCCACATTTACATCAAAAGCACTTCCTGTGGACAATACTTGGTCCACATTCGTCGTATTCCTGTTTAGAAATCCACATTTGTCCAAAAGTAGATAGTGATCCTAAAATAGATCCTCCAATCCATACCGAGTACTTCCGTTCTGGGGCAGCAATTATTTTTGTTTTCATCGAATTTGGGATGATTGCGTCCATTTCTTTTTTCAGTCTATCTGCAATTCCTGAAACAAACAAAAAACATTTTATTTACCCATAGTTTTACATGTTTAACGATTATGTAATTCTACCTAATGTATATTTATGAACAACTGTGTATGCATACTTCATCTATTATTACTCATATATGTTTTTATAAGTTTTTTTTAAGGCATGTCTTACTCTACGAAAATGCTATCAAATTTCTATTTAAAACAAGAATCTATGTCGGAAGTCTCGCTCGCATTATATTTCAAATTGTTCAATGAACTGTAAATAAAAAGTTATTTGGCATTTAATTCTAAGTTCTTTGTGCTAACTGTTAAAAAGCAACGTGTCAGCGATTTTTTTTGTGCATTTTTCGTGTATCGTGAAACTTTAATATTGTTCGTCTGAATGCATATCCCCTCACCCCTCCCCCCGTTATTTAACAACCATCTTTGATTGGTTAAGCTACTAACCTGGATACATTGTGGAACCTCCGGACAGAACAATATTATTATACAGATCTCGTCTGATGTCAATATCTGTGGACGTGATTGAGTTATGCAACATCTCGTGTATACCGGCAGCCTCCATTCCAGTAAAAGATGGCTGAAACAGAACTTCCGGACATCTGAATCTTTCGTTTCCAATAGTGATTACACCACCATCTGGTAGTTCGTAGCTCTTTTCTATTTGAGAAGATTTGGCAGAGGCGTCTAGTTCTTGTTCGAAATCAAGAGCAACATAGCACATTTTCTCCTTGATATCTCGAACGATTTCCCGTTCAGCTAAAATTAAAAAAATAAAAGATTCTAAATTCATGTCATTTAAAGTTTTGAAATGTACAAACTCAAGTCAGATGTTTGCAATGCAAAGTTTTTAATACTTTTAGACTACCGATTATATGAGTACAATTAGTTATTCTTTCTGTTAACATATTTTATTTCTCTTTGTTTTCTGTTGATCATCGATTAGAATTGCATTTCATTTATATTAAACCCATCACAATAAGTGGTTTTCCTGAATATTCATGAAATATTTGCAACTGGACTTTATTCATAGAAGAACGTTTTTATCAATTAATAATTATAGTATATTAATTAATTTCTGTTATCCGTTAAACATTATATTGTTTTATTTCCTATATATTCTTGATTTGTTTGCCACTGGACATCATTTCTATATCATATATGTGTGACATTCCCGTGTTAGAGTTTATATTCCCTGAGCCGAAGCCAAATCAAACAAAGGCGGATTTAGAGGGGGGCCAGGGGGCCCGCCCCCCCCCCCCCCGCCCTTTTCTGAGAAAAATTTGGTTGATTATATAGGGAATCATTGAAGCATGACCGGAGCGGGCCCCCTCTTAGGCAGTTAGTGGGCCCCACTTATGAAAAATTTCTGGATCCGCCACTGTCAAATTAAAGCTACTTACACGAATTGCTAAAACAGTATCCTCTTTCACGAAGTATCCTCTGTAGGTAGGCTGTCAAATCTCGTCCTGCGAGATCTAGTCTCTTTATGGCATGAGGTAGAGCATATCCTAAAATATAAACAACAAAATTATGTACATGATGTAACATTGTTATGGTCTTTGAGGAAAATGTGATTGTTTTGCTTCATTTGATTCAAGCTGCAATCATTCTGTTTAGTCGAAACGTTTATGTGGAAATTGACAACTAATCAAAATGAAGGCAAAGAAATCAAGAATTTAAAAGAGAACCTTGAATCACATTTTTCCTGCAAATATAAAAGATTGTCATTTGATAGATTATATGTGTGATGCCACAATTAAACTGACTCCGTAAAACGTTACATGCAATTTATTATGATAAAACATTCTTTTATTTTAATTTAGTAAAATTCGTTGGAATGGAGTTTCTGACATTTTATAGTGTATTCAATTAAAAATATATACATGTTTGTATAAAGGGAAATTGCAAAAATATTGTCCAATGATATTTCAATTTGTTTACCTTCATATATAGGAACAACATGAGAAACTCCATCTCCTGCATCAAACACTATTCCTGTTGTTCTTCCTGATGCATACAGGGATAAAAAAGCCTGGATACCGACGTAAAATGCTGGTGTGTTGAAAGTCTCAAACATGGTCTGAAATCAAAAATATCTTAAAATCATAAATAATAAAATCCTCAGAAAATGTAAAAATACATGAATTTCTTTGTATCATCTTAAAATAATTAAAATTCCGGTATGATTCTATTCTATCACTTATATTTTGGAATTGGTATTCAAAATACAACTGATGCATGTTTTTATTAAAGAAATTTACGAATGTCTTCCTATTTTATTAAATCGACATTAGAAACATAAACCATATATTTGAATTGAGTTGTCTCCCTTTAAACGTGTTTAATGTCAATATAGGGAAAACGGTACTATTTATTCTGCCATAGGCGACAATACTAACATTTTCTAAATTTACCACTTTTTATAATAAAAACCCCGATAAAACAGTTATGTGTGGTGTTAGTACTTTATTATTCTGTTTTGAAAATTGAAGCCAAATAGTATCATGACCAACTTCCAATGGAGCTTGTTAATGTTATCCATGCCCACCGTCATTTTACACCAAATTTATGAAATTTTTGAAGTCTTTTCGAATAATTCTCTAGAAAATATTTCAATAGGTTTCAAAATTTATATTGTAAATATACACACTGCAGTTATTCATAGATAAATAAAAAAATATATTGTACCCTAACATCCAATCACAGCGCTCCTAAGTTGACTTCCTTCACCTGCCTTGGGTACACAAAAGACCAACCTAATGCTGGGAAAATATAATAGTACCGTTTTCCCTATAACCGAAAGGGACAAAACTTAATAGATACGAATGCGCGTATTTTAAAAAAATTAAAAAAAATAATAAAAAGACTACGGCAGCCGATTGCTCACATTTTTAAAGTTTGAAAAGATTTTCCAAAGACAAATCCAGTAGCTTCTGAATCATATGGTACGTTTAGCGTATTTGTTCATCATTATTCGTATAATACCTCATTTTGCATGATGTGTTACAACAGCAGTTCACTCATGCAAGGACTCTATAGTGGATACGTAAAGTGTTTTTCTGATAGTTGTTTACAGAATAGAAAGAATCATCACTTTGGGATGTCGATGAGCAAAATGTAACTAAAGATTTCTTTTTTTCTCTGTTAATTTAAACAATTAGTTTCTCTACTGTACCTGTGTCATTCGTTCCCTGTTTGCCTTTGGATTCATCGGTGCTTCAGTCAACATGACCGGATGTTCTTCGGGTGCCACTCTAAGTTCATTATAAAACGTATGATGCCAGATCTTCTCCATGTCATCCCAATTAGTCACTATTCCATGTTCGATGGGATATTTTATAGACAGTATACCTCGTTTACTTTGTGCCTCGTCTCCAACGTAACAGTCTTTTCCTCCCATGCCCGCCATTACAATCTGAAAAAATAAATATGATTGGTTTTAATTTATACGTATAAATTGTAGGAATAACATTGGTTTCAACAAAAGAATTATTAGGTAATAACGTTACATCTAAACAACATGCAGTAATTATAATTTTGATTGCAGACATCTGAATTTGATAAATACAACGCAAAACAAATGACTTTAAAATCCTTTTATTCTTTGTGAGCTCGAGTTATCTTAAAAAAAAACTGAGATTGAAGACAAAAATATTTCAACGTGTTATAATATACAAAAAAATGTTAAGACACATACCTGATATTTCGGCCTTCCAGTAACAGCGGGGAAAACGGACCTGGGTGCATCATCCCCGGCAAATCCAGCCTTAACCATTCCGGAACCGTTGTCAATAATTACTGCGCTGATGTCTTCGTTGAAACTCATTGTTTCTTTTAATAGTCGCCTGTGATCTACAAATATAAAATTACGATAATTTAAATCTTAGCTATTTATTAATTTAAAAGTGATTCCATGATTTCGCGATATTTTTTTTTTTTGCAAACAACGATTCATATCTGCTTTATTGTACATCAAAAAATGCGATTTGCAACCTCTTAAAGCAAGATGATATCAATAGGACAAATCAAGACAAGACAAGACAAGACAATTTATTACAACTTAGGCACACGTATAGTGCTAATAGGCAATTACATTGCAAATTGCATAAACTTAGGGACGACATCAAAAAATCAATGAAGGATGTAAAACTTAATTCAAATAGTTTGGGGGGGGGGGGGGGGGGTGTCAAAATTGCTGCAAGTTTTGTTTAATTGACATCGATTTTATATATATCCTTATTGGTCAATCAATTTTTCACAAATTAAGTTAAGAGGGTGGGTAGGGGGTCAGTGAAAAAACTATATGAATTAGGTTTTTATCCTACATTGAACTTTTGATGTCGTCCCTTAAATTCTTTACCAACATCGAACGAAATCAAAGGAATTATTTTTGGCAACAAATGCAACATGTTAATATTATATATATAGCTTAAGTTTTTTTTTTTTAAATTTTAACATTTTTCGTAATTCATATTTTTTGTGAAAGTTCACTTTGTAAAGAGTAAAATCGAATTACTCAATAAACAAAGAAAATAAAATGGTACTTACCTGTTTTTATTCCTTTTACGATCTCTTTCGTGTTTAAATTTGCTATGATTATAATTTGAAAATTTGGTCATATTTATACCTAGGTAAGACTTTTTCCAAGAACTCAGATTGAATTAGAAGAAAAACGTTAGTAAGATTGTATTTAGTGTTAGTCATCAAAATCAAACAATACCAAAGGAGATTTCTCATCTCGCTTTATATGTATAAACATAGATTAAGATAAATATAACCTGTCGTTTAAAGTGACCTGTAACAGTAATAGCTTAAAATAGACAATGATTTATCAAATACAAAATCCTATTTTTAGAAAGGTCATTTAAATAAAAGTCGAATCAGAATTACGCATACGTTGTGTAGCAACCCTAATTGGGAAGTCTGTCCAGCTGTTCTATATAAACAAGGTTGTGAAATACGAAATTGTTCAAACAGCTAAAAAAAAATACAAAAAATATAGAAATGTCATTTAAAAAAAATACAAATGATCATATATCACAATGAGACATAATTAACAGCAACAATATATTATTTTGTTCAATGTATCATCATGTAATGGAAAATAAAAAAAATGTGTGTCAACTGCAAACAACTTCATATAAAAAAAAAGATGTGATATGATTGCTAATGACACAACTCTCCACAGCAGACCAAATGACACAGAAATTAACAACTATATGTCAATGTACGGCCTTCAACAATGAGCAAATCCCATACCGCATAGTAAGCTATAAAAGGCCCCGAAATGACAAATGTAAAACAATTCAAACGAGAAAACTAACAGCCTAATTTATGTACAAAAAATGAACGAAAAACAAATATGTAACACAACAACAAGCGACAACCACTGAATTAAAGGCTCCTGACTTGGGACGGGCACAAACATTAAAATGTGGCGGGGTTAAGCATGTTAGCGGGATCCCAACCCTCCCCCTAACCTGGGACAGTGTTGTAACAGTACAATATAAGAACGAAATATAAAAATCTGTTGAAATAGACTTTACTCATCAGATGGATACAAATAGAAATAAAGCTAACAAAAACACAGAGTTGACTTAGCCGGGTACTTGTACATGTATATCCCAACAACAAAAATACATTTATAGATATAAGAAGATGTGGTATAAGTGCCAATGAGACAACTCTCCATCCAAGTCAAAATTTATAAAAGTAAACCATTATAGGTCACAGTACGGTCTTCAACACGGAGCCTTGGCTCACACCGAACAGTAAGCTATAAAGGGCCCCAAAAAATTACTAGTGTAAAACCATTCAAACGGGAAAACCAACGGTCTAATCTATATAAAAAACGAGAAACGAGAAACACTTATGAACCACATTAACAAACGACAACTACTGAACATCAGATTCCTGACTTAGGACAGGTGCAAACAAATGCAGCGGGTTTAAACGTTTTAATGGTACCAAACCTTCACCCTTTTTCTGAAACAATAGTGTAACATCACAACATAGAAAGACACACTATAAAATATCAACTGAAATAGCTTAACTCAATCAAAGGACATATTAACACCATTGAACATACATTGAACAAATAAATTTGACCTATGACACAATGTAAATACAAAATAAATAAACTAAGGGAAGAATAATAAAAGTAACATGTTATATCGGTAAGAAATGTTAAACAATTAAAGAAAAACAATATGCTCGAACAAAAATACCATCCATTTGCAATAACTTTAAACACAGGTAAATGAAAATAATTTTGTTGTTAGGTATACCTGTACAGTACCAATAGAGAAAGGAAATATTTTTACAAAATAAATAATTTTGAATACAAAATAAATAAACTAAGGGAAGAATAATAAAAGTAACATGTTATATCGGTAAGAAATGTTAAACAATTAAAGAAAAACAATATGCTCGAACAATATACTATCCATTTGCAATTATTTTAAACACAGGTAAATGAAAATAATTTTGTTGTTAGGTATACGTGTACAGTACCAATAGAGAAAGGAAATATTATTACAAAATAAATAATTTTGATGTTCAGGGTACGTAGTGAAAATTTATAGTTATACCAAACACTTATCAAAGCTGGTATATAGACCAGATATAACCCTGAATAACATTAAATAACAAAAAAGCAATACAATTAGTATCAACAGGTCAAATAAACAAGAAAGTACGATTTGAGAGTTCTCGCAGTTGCTAACAGCTAGTTTAAAGCCACTAAGAACTAATAAAAAAATTCATGCATCTAAGACTAAATTATCAATCAGTACACATCCAACATCCAATGGTTTTAGTGTAAAGACGTCATAAACAGTCAGAGAAAAACATTTATATTATTTATATCTGCTCATCATCGTTGCGAAAATACCTTTACTTAGACTAAATTGGCTTTGTTAATTTTCATAAGATTTTGAAATAATTACTTTAATCCTTTGAAATAAAATATAAAAGATTCAAAAAAACTTGAACCACACGCTTTATCGGAATCATAAAGCCGGTTAGTGTCAGGGTGGAGTTTTATTTTTTAAGTCGTTATAACGACTTAGCTAAGTTGTTATAACGACTTAGCATAGCTATCTCGTTATAACAACTTAGCTAACTTGTTTTAACGACTTAGCTAACTCGATTAAACAACTTAGCTAACTCGTTTAAACAACTTATCTAACTCGTTAAAACGACTTAGCTAACTTGTTTAAACAACTTAGCTAACTTGTTGTAACGACTTAGCTAATCTAACTTGTTATAACAACTTAGCTCACTCGTTTAAACGACTAAGCTATCTCGTTTAAACAACTAAGCATACTCGTTTATACGACTTAGCTAACTTGTTACAACGACTTAGCTAATCTAACTCGATATAACCAAGTTAGCTAAGTTGTTTAAACGAGTTAGCTAAGTCGTTTTCACGAGTTAGCTAAGTTGTTATAACGAGGTAGATTAGCTACGTTAGTGTCAGGGTGGAGTTTTATTTTTTAAGTCGTTATAACGACTTAGCTAAGTTGTTATAACGACTAAGCATAGCTATCTCGTTATAACAACTTAGCTAACTTGTTTTAACGACTTAGCTAACTCGATTAAACAACTTAGCTAACTCGTTTAAACAACTTATCTAACTCGTTAAAACGACTTAGCTAACTTGTTTAAACAACTTAGCTAACTTGTTGTAACGACTTAGCTAATCTAACTTGTTATAACAAATTAGCTTACTCGTTTAAACGACTAAGCTATCTCGTTTAAACAACTTAGCATACTCGTTTATACGACTTAGCTAACTTGTTACAACGACTTAGCTAATCTAACTTGATATAACCAAGTTAGCTAAGTTGTTTAAACGAGTTAGCTAAGTTGTTATAACGAGTTAGATTAGCTTAGTCGTTATAACAAGTTAGCTAACTTGTTTAAACGAGTTAGCTAAGTTGTTTAAACGAGTTAGCTAAGTCGTTAAAACAAGTTAGCTAAGTTGTTATAACAAGTTATCTAAGTTGTTATAATGAGTTAGATAAGCTAAGTCGTTATAACGACTTACAATAAAAACTCCACCCTGACACTAACCGGCTTCCGTAGTACTAGAATCATTTCATTGGATATAGCAGTTTGAAAAACACTCATTTTTATCATTGTGAAGTTGAATATTTCCTTAAGGATGTACTAAGGTGACATTCAAATATTAAGAAATTAAAATTGATACCATAAATGAGAAGAGCATTAGTTAAGGAACAAAATAAGCTAAAAATATTGATAGGTCATGGAGCTCCTTTTCGAGATATTTGATTTTTAAAATATGGCGGGAAAAGGATGACTCTGGGTTTTACCTTATATTTGCATTGGTATAATTTGGGTCTCAAATCAAAAGAAAAACAATCAAGAATCTGCTTAAATTTTGGAAAGTGACCTTTTATGAGCTACTAAGTCTTATGTGAAAAGATAAATGTGTGTTATTATATTGTATGGAAAAAAACAAGGAGTCCGAACATTTGACACAAATTCAAAAACCTCACCTAAGTACATCCTTAACAGTAGAACGTATTAACGTGACTTAATATTTTGTAATTTTTAATAATTTGTCAAAATGAAGTTTTTGTTCTGCTTTTTTCAAAAATATAATAAAAGTTATTGGTCACGGGACTTTTTTTCACGCTACAGGTTGTGCAAAATTGTCAGATTTTGTATAGATTATGCATGGAGAATCCAATTTTGTGTGATAAAAAGAAAACTACACCATAGAGTTTTAAGATAAAACGTGAGAAGATAGCTCTTATAACATGCTTTAAGATAAGAAAAAGATGTCGTACAGCTGATTTCGACCCATTATAACTGTACTTGAATATAATACAAAAATCAATATCAAAACACCCATTTAATATAACATTATAATATAATATAGTATAATAACTATAATATGATATAACATTTCTAACCTACCTGCAAGGTCATGTATTTTGATTTCCTAACGTTAAGACTAATTTTATTGAGGCACTGGCTACGATTACCCGCACAAAGTAACGGTTACTTTCGAGACATGGCCATGAATTCATAAGGAAATTGCAGATAGCATGAATATCAGGTTTTTTATTGTTACGTTACCTGCAGCAGAGGCATATAATACAATGAGAGGCATATAATATTCAATTACTGTCTAATAATGAGTTAGATTTTAGGTTTTATTGACTTTTGAAAAACTGATATTCACTGAGGCCAGATGCCAAAGTGATTATCAGTTTTTCAAAAGTTAATTAAACCACATATATTTAACAAAACAAAAGACAGTAACTGTTTTATTCCATATTCCAAATGTATGTAATGGCAACTAATTACAAAAGCCAATTGTACATCAAACGTTTTTTACCAAAATTATGGACGTAAAAGCACGCGACGTTTTGCGCGGTGAATATACTTTTTCCGCAGGTGAATATGTTTATTTATTCAAAATCCCATATAGAAAAACCTACTAAAAAGTATTATCAATATTGAATAAATTGTATTATATGCCTCTCGTTGGCCTCAGTGAATATAAGTTTTTCAAAAGTCAATAAAACCACAAATTTAACTCAGCAAAAGACAGTAATTGTGTAAACTTTCAGATGTATTAAAAATATAACTAATATGTCGTTCACATTTGCCATATGAGGTCAATGAAAACTCA